CACCGAGGATTCGAAGATCGGCCAAAGATTTCGGGGTATGTTTTGCGTTCGTCGTCGTCGCCCTGGTAAAACCCTACCCCAAAAATCTCCCTCCCCGAAGTCTCGAGGAGCCTGCATTTTGTCTTGGCCCTCGCGTTTCTGGGATTGGGCATCTGTTTTGACTCAGTGAGGCCTTGATCTTCTTCGCGTCCCTGCGCTGCTTGGCGCGGCGCTTCGTCTTCGACATGGGCACGAAGGCCGCGCCCTCCCTGCTCGCGCCGCTCGGCTCGTGGGGGCCCGCCGCACAAGGTCTGTCCACGGAGGACTCGGTCTGGTCCGTGAGGGCGCTGCCTCGGGCGCGAGTTGTGGTGGGCTCTGTTCTCCACGGCCACACACCATGAGTAGGAAGGGGGAGGGGGTCCTCCTCCTCCTCCTCCTCCACCTCCTCCTCCTCCACCTCCTCCTCCTCCTCCTCCTCCTCCTCCTCCTCCACCTCCTCCTCCACCTCCTCCTCCTCCTCCTCCTCCTCCTCCTCCTCCACCTCCTCTCCCCCTCCAGCTTATGGTGGTGGTGGTCGTGGACAACAAGCCCCTCAAATTGATTGGGGCGATGCGCGGCGGGGGGAGCGGAGTGCACTTCTCGGGCCCTCGAGGCCCTCTTTGGGGCCCTACGTGACTCCTGTAGGGGCCCGAAGGGGTCCCTTGACTGCAGCCCTCGCTGCCCCCACACTGGCCAACGCCCCATTGTGCGCCCCTTAGCTGCCCCCGTCGGTGGAAGCGCAGGGGGTTGAGACGGCGGGGTCGGAGCTGGGCCGCTGAGGCAGCTCCACGGGCTCCGTCCAGGGGGACGGGCAGTCCTGAGCATTGCTTAACCAACCCCTATCCCCATGGGCGTGGCCTGGGCCCCACTGGAGGGCGATGATGCCCCTGGATGGGGATATAGGGCCGTTCCCTTCGGGCTTCGAGGGGTTCTATCCATAACTGGGGTGCTGAGATGGTGGGGGTCTGGATGGGGACCCAGACCCCGATGTCATGATTTTTTCATGATGTCGGCCCCCAGCGGTCTGGGCCCATTTCCCGGAACGATTTTTCATTTTGAGTAATTTTTTGACGGTCCTGAGGGCCGGCACGGGCCCCCAAAGGCCGACATTTTAGAACAACCTTCCGTCGCGAGGTCTTCGTCACTCGAGGGGGTCTGGGGATGGGGATAGGGGTCGCTGAAGCACGACTGCAGTCCAGGAAGGTGTTCTTCGTGGTCAGCAGCTCTCTGTGCGCCATGGCACGGCGCCGAGCCGCCTTGGGCGGTGTGCTCCCGTGCGCTGCGCGGCCCGAGCCGCAGGTGTGGCGGCCGCCGCTCCTGAGCGCCTGAGCTGGAGCGGCCTGAGGCAAAGAGGGCAGAGGGGGAATGGCTCGGGCGATCCTGTGGCCATCTCTGGACCACACGGGCCCGCTGGAGCCCTCACCGGGCCAACGTCGGCCAACTTCGGCGCTCTCGGGGGTCCTCCTCCTCCTCCTCCTCCTCCTCCTCCTCCTCGTCCTCCACCTCCTCCAACCTCCTCCAACCTCCTCCATCCCTTCTATCCTACCTGTCGCACCCCCCAGACGAGTTGGTAGGGCGGGCTGGACGTTTCGCCTGAGACTCCCCCACCATTTACGATCCTGAAGCTTGAAATGTGCCAGAACTTCAAGGATGGAGGGCGGGTGATATTCAGAATGTGGATTTCGCCTCTGCGACGAGCACATTCGCCTTAAAGGCTTGTAACTGCTCCAAGAATGAAGGGCGGGTAGCTTTCAGACTGTGACTCTCGCTCCAACGCTGCGCACACTCTTCAAGGATGGAGGACTGATCGTTTTCAAAATGTGGCTCTCGCCTTTATACCGCGTTCATTCGCTTTACAACGTTGCAGCAGTTTCGCAAATTTGTAGGGCTTCGCAGGATTTGGGTTCTGGAATGCTCCAGGGCTGTCAGGACGCAACTGCCATGTTGATTCAAGGTGTTGAAATCCTACGAATGGCTCCCTTTCGCGTTTTATGATTGTCAGGACGCAAAGGCACGTTGATTCGCGGCGTTGAAGTCCCAGGAATTATGTCTTGGTGCGGCTTAGGTTTCTCAGACGGTTGTCTTTCCATGCGGCGCTTCCCGTACTGAAAAGGAATTATCGTAGGGGCCTATGACGATGGAACTTGGGAGGGCTTTATTGCAACATCGTCGATGCATGCCTGGTTTACACTGGTCTTCCTCCTGTTCCTGCTCCTGCTCCTCCCCCTCCTGCCAGTACTCCTCACTCTCATCCTCATCGATCCACTCCCAATGGATCCACTGAAGTCACTCACTGCTTCGCTTCCTTCTTCACCGTCCTCCTCCTCCTCCTCCTGATCATCATCATGACCTGTGAACTTACCATGGGCTACGGGCAAAACGATTCAACAAACTGTCTGAAGGCGATTGGTGGCTTCAGGTACTTCATGTCAGCTCGGCAGGTGATGGCGCGCAAGTGCATTCCCCACGCACTGCGTACCCGCAAGGGCGGCGGGCTGGGAAGGTCCAGCGCCAGCCGTTGACCACGAGAGACATCATCATCACCACGCAATAATAATAATCATCATCATCATCATCTTCAGCATCATCATCATCATCACCATCACCAGCATCATCATCATCATCATCACCATCACCATCACCATCACCATCACCATCATCACCATCACCATCATCATCATCATCGTCAGCATCATCATCATCATCATCATCATGACGATTTACTCGGCCAATAGAGTGATATCCCAAAGCGATTCATCACAGGCTTGCCACCAAGCAACATAGAATTCGACTGCTCTATGTCCCAGGGCGGGCCGGGTCGGGAACAACAGAAGGCTATGAGCACGGGGCGGGCGAGGCACGCGACGCTCTTGCTACCTTCCCCCTACTCGTGTCACTGTACGGCCCCCGTGTCGTCATTACTGTGCACGCACTCCCATGACGATTTACTCGGCCAATAGAATGATATCCCAAAGCGATTCATCACAGGCTTGCCACCAATCAGCATAGAATTCTACTGCTCTATGTCCCCAATCACCATCAAGAGGTCCCGAATCTCAGAAATGTTTTGGCCTCGGGCGGGTACGGGAGGGAGAGGCCGATCCTGGAGGGGTGGTCGTCCGTGCCACCGAACTTGCAACGTGCTTCTGGGCCCACAGGAACCTGAAGGCGCAGGCGATAACAGTGCAGAGACGAGGTGGGTAATGTTTAGCACGGTCGGTCTTCCATCCAGTATTTTCTTGTCCCTTCAAGATGTCGTGGGGTTTTCCTGACCTAGAGCATATATCGATTTGCCCACGCATCTTCGGATCAGGAAGGAGTTGTCGAGATCTGACAATACAAGATGGTGGTCCGCTTCCTGAAGTCAGTCGTGAACTGGCACAGGTCGAAAACAACGGACTCAGCGAACTTGGATTCTGCGATGTGCTTCAAAAACTGGACGAACCAGAGCATAGCAGAGGCGGGGTTCCCGATCATGAACGGTACTCAGGAGAACGAACAGCACTCTAGCGATACTGAATGAGTGGCATGGCGTAGCCACGAATATTCCCTGCACGCGGCCCGAGCGGATCAACTTCAGAAGTGCCTTTATTATTCCAGGCGCAAAAATGTCGATTTCAGGCTCGAGCTGTATCTCTGGCGACGAGATGCCACACCTCGCCACCGTCTTGCCGACTCCCTCGGAACCAGCGAAGATGTTGAGGAAAAGGTCGCCTCGCTCCAACCAGGCGGTCGGGGCGCGCTCACCGCGCCGAGGAGGATGTCTCCAGGGTGCGCCGTGCAGAGCCAGAGGTACTCCTGGACGCTGTCGTCTAGGCCCACGGGCAGGAAGTTGACCTTGCTGGTTTCTCGTGCCTGATGCGAGAGCTCATGCTGGCCCAGCGCCCGCGACGCTGGACCTTCACCTGAGACCTTTTGCCCGTGATGACGTCCCACGACTGGCCTGCGCGCCGAAGGCCGTAGGGGACGATCCCCAGGCCCTCGAGCCGGCACACCTTCAGCGCCTTCGCGACCATGGCCCCGAACTCCGCCTGCGTCAGGCCCCACAGCGAGTCGCTCGTCCCCCTCTCCTGGCGGTACAGCTTGAAGAAGTGGCCGAGGAACTGCAAGTTCTCGTGGTCCATCGTCACGTTGTCGTCGTAGATGCCCGTCTTGGTGGGGCCTTCGTTGCTGTCCGAAGGCCCCAGGATCAGCGACCACTTCAGCCCAGTCCGCCCAGTCCAGGAGGGCCGTCTCCAGCGAGCCCAGGGTGCTGACGTCCAAGCCCTGGCGGCGGGCGTACTCGTAGAACTCCTCGATCCGCCTGTGGTAATCCTCGACCTGGACGGGCCTCGCAGCGATGCCTGAGGCGACTGCCCGTCTTCCAGTGGCACAGCTTCGCGCACTCGAAGGTCGGGAAGATCCAGATGCATCACTGGCCCCGCCTCGACCCGCTCCGTCACGTTGCGTGTCGCGATGCCTGTCGCCACTCTGCGCCCCGTCGCATGCGCCCTCGACACCGCGCCCGTCATCAGGATGGGGGAGTCCAGGAGGAGGACGCCATGCATGGCCCAGAGCAGCAGCTGCAGGTTCCCAAAGCCGCGAAGGTTGATCAGCAGGATTGACCTCGGACGGGACCCAGCGGCACCGCGCCCGCAGCCCAGTGGCGAGCTGCAGCGCGGTCATCTGACGAAGCTGGCCCAGGGGGGCTGGATCGCGACAGCGGCCCTTCTGCATGGCCAGCGTGAGTGACATACTGTCCACCAGCATGAGCACCTTGCTGTGCCGCCAGCGCCCGCAACGAACCACGTGCTTGAACCCGAGCTTGGCGCCCCTCGCCTCCTTCTTGAACCTCCAGCGCTCGTCGTAGCTGCCCGTGATTCGTATATCTGGAGAGCCCCATTCAGCAGCGCAGGCGCCAAGCCCAGTATCGCAAGCATCCGTCGCAACCACCTGGTCGAGCCAGCCCGCCCCGATGTCGGCGTGGACCAGCGGCAGGAGGGCAGCGGCGATGAGGAGCTCCCTCTTGACGCTCCGCCAGAGGTTCTTTGGCCCCCCTCCTGCAGCCTCGGCAAAGGCAAAGGGGGCCGCGATGCAGGACAGACAGGGGCGCCGAAGCAAGAAAGCGAAGCAGAGGTGCCCAAGTGTGGCTCGCATCTCCCTCCCAGTGCAGCGCCCGCGTCGTGCGCGAGCATGTAGCCCCGAGTACAGTTGCCACGCTCTGGCGGGGGATAGTCTGACCGCCTTCTTGCCCCCATCGAGGTGCGCTCCCACGATGTCCAAAGAAGTGCTGAACTGCTCGATCTCATGCGCGTGAAAGCCTGCGTGCCGAATGCCTTCGAGAGCCTGGCGATGCGTGGCCTCAACCTCGGCCTTGTCACAGCCGAAGACCCCGAAGTTGTCGACGCATGTCAGCTGAACAGGCCCCCCCTCAAGCGAAGGAGGAGGTATGCCGTCACGAAGAAGGCGAGCTGGAGGAAGACCAGCCCGCCGCAGGAGCTCCTCATGGACGAGTTGGGCCGCCCTCACTGCCCACGAAAAGCCCATCGATAGTGACTGCAGAGCCGGGTAGAAGAGCTCGCTGGGACCAACCATGATACCATTGATGCTCTCCACCCCCACAGCCGCGGCACGGACTGCTGGTAGAGCAAGGTACTGAGATAGTTCCTCATCGATCCTGAGCTCGTGGAGGTAGTCCTTAATATCAAGGCTGGCCGGAAAGATGGTCTGGTCAGATGCGCACTGAAGACGGCTGAGCGAGTTGCCAGTAGCAAGATGTATTGAGTCTGGGGTGTCAAATCGTATGTTGGTCCTTCGTGCATCGCATATAAGTCGTAATTCACCACTCTTTTTGTGAACAAAGAACAATCCCACCCTTTCTTCGTAGGTTCGAGTCCAGCGCACCAGTCCCCTGTCACGCAGATCCCGACAAAAACCCTCCCACTTCGCAGGATGTGCCTCCAGCACTGGGTCAAAGTAAGGATTGGGCAGTCCCTCGCTCTTGATGCGCAATGCACGCTCCTCGCCACTGAGAAGGATGGTGTCGCGAAGCCGCTTAAACTTGTGCGACGCGTCCGAGGGCAGAACGTTGTAGATGTCCACCCCGTGCAGGTCGCGACTCGGCGGAGACGCTGAAGCCGAGCCAAACGGTGCAATGTTCCCGGCACACTCGCTGTCACCATAGCGGGCGTCTGTGCGCAGAAGCGCCGCGAGGGCTTCTTGCGGAGCGGGTCTCTCCTTAGGCAAGGGCACAGCTTCAACCGCTTCACGAGCCAGGGCAGCAGCAGCACGCGCCTGCTCACCACCAGGACCGCTGGGCGACTTGTAACCGAAGCCCCCGAGCTCGTTGAGACCCCAAAAAATTCTCGTCGGCGCGCCTGTCGATCCAAGCACGGCGGCAAATACGTTGTTGAACGCCACGACTGAGTGAGCTACGAGGGCCTTCCCAATCCTGAAGTCGAGGCAGGGGTAGAAGGTCACGCTGTCGACCGTCCGCCATGCCTTGGTCAAAAACTCGTCGCAACCCTCGCAGAAGACAGCAACTCGGCGGCAGCCCAAGTCGGGCCACGAAAATCGAAATACCGCGGGGCGGCTAGCCCTTCTTCGCAAGGGCCGCCTCCTCGCGGGCCTTGCGTCGTCCTTTCTGGATCGCAGCCTCGCCTTGGAGCTGCAACGCCACGTGCGAGGTGAGTAGCGGCGCCGCGGCCGCGACTTTCCTGCCAAGGCCCTGGAAGTGCTCGCTCCCCTCGAACCGCGGCGCCTTCGGGTTGGACGTGTACGCCTCCTCCAGCAGCTGAATCCTCCTCGACAGGATCTCGAAAGAGGCGAGGGCAGACACGTCCAGCTGGTCATATGTGAGCGCTGTCTCAAGAATCTCCATGAGACTGCCATGCTCGTGCTTGACTCTGTCGTTGTCCGGCACATGGGCGTCTCGCATCCACTTCTCGGTCCTGGTGCGGGGCACGCTCCCCTGGTCTCTGATGAACTTGCACAGCCAGAGAGTCGTTCTTGGGCCAACCACCGGGAAGTCGTCGAACCGTGGCTCCTCCAGCAGCCCGACGGCATTAGTGTAGGCCCTGAACCTCTGGCCCGTCTGGTCGCACAGCACGGGCAGCACTCGAGCGTCAGCAGACTTGAGCGGCACTGCAACCGCCGGCCCGTCTCCATTCGCTTGAGGTCCGAGGCCAGCTCCTGGCAGACCGGGCCCAGAAGCTCGGTCCACCGCCTGCTCGAGCTCGCCCTTCCTCGAGACCAGCACATTCTTCTTGTTGCCGACCGCGATGCTCTCCAGCACGAGGGTGGCCGTCCCAAGCTTGACCAGCGCGAACTTGCCCATGACACTGGCCGTGGCGTCCACGCTCCAGTCGGACCCGATGGAGGGCGCCCCCGGCTGGCCGTCGTTCGCCACCACGATCCACTGCATGCCAGGGGCGGGACCGCCTCCGGGCGCCACCACTGCCCCCATGGCTGCTCCAGCCCCCGGGATGGCGGCGCCCCCACCCACGGCGGCGAGCGGTACAGCAGGCGGGGCGGCCAGGCCGTCGGCCGCGGGAGCCGCGCCCACGTCTGCCACCAGAGCCCCGGCCCCGGCGCCGGCTCCAGCGGGCGGCGGTCCAGCCGGCAGGCCCGTCCCGGCGGTCCAGCCATGTTGACCCACCCGATCACGCACAGCACCAGACTCAGCATCAGCAGCGTCGTCGTCGATGCCCAGCCCCGCCCTCTCCATCTGGGCGGTCGCGATCCCGTCGTCGAAGATCTGTCGCCACTCCGCCGCCGTGTGCAGCTGGCCGAGCGGCGGGAACCTGTGCAGCAGAGCGTTGGCGGGGATCGCCGGTGGCACAGACCCTTGCAGGCAAGGCGTGCCTCCGAGGGCCCGGATGTCCTCTGGATAGACATCGCCATCAGGAGTGACGATGACCCACGTCGTTCCCCGCACCTTGCAGAGCAGGAGGCGCTCGTGCCAGTACGCCTCCCCGCCCCCGTACCACACCAGAATCAAGCGACCTGGGGCGATCGGCCTCGAATCGGCCATGCACCGCCCGGCGAAGCCCCGAACCGAACAAGGCCCCCGCGCAGCAGCCCGTCGCCAGCCCGAAGAGGCCCGCGACCACCACCGCGACGATCCACTACCTGCTGAGGTCGGGCGCCGCCCTCGGGCAGCTGACCTCCGGACAGCTCGGGCAGGCCGCGCCCCCGAGCGTGCAGGGCGGGCACTGCAGGGCAGGGCACGCCAGGCTGGGAGTGCAGGTGCAGTCGGGGCACACCTGCGCGGTCTGCCCAGCCCACACCAGGCTCGCGGTGCCCGCCGTGCGCAGCGTCTCCCGCGCAGCCTCCAGCACAGCGTCCGCGAGCCACTTTGGCATGCACGGATTGGCGTGGCGGCGGCGGGCGGCGCGCGCGAACCTCCTGAACAACAGAAGGCTATGAGCACGGGACGGGCGAGGCACGCGACGCTCTTGCTACCTTCCCCCTACTCGTGTCACTGTACGGCCCCCGTGTCGTCATTACTGTGCACGCACTCTCATCATCATCAAGGGGGCTCTCCTCCTCCTCCTCCTCCTACTCCTCCTCCTCCTCCATTATCCTCTCTCCCTTATCCTCCCTGTCTCACCCCCAGGCGTGTCGGTAGGGCGGGCCGGGCGTTTCGCCTGAGACGTCCCCACCATTTACAATCCTAAAGCTTGAACTGTGTAACATCTGCAAGGGTGGAAGGCGGGTGGTTTTCGGAATGTGGTTCTCGCAGTAACGCCGCGCACGTTCGTCTTAACAGTGAAAAGCAATTTCACGGATCTGTAGGGTTGAAGTCCCAGGAAGGCTGCTCTGGCACGATCCAGGGTTGTCAGGACGCATCTGTCATGTTGACTCGAGGTATTGAAGTCCCAGGACATGTGACTTGGCACGATTGAGTTTTTTTTTTTTTTTTAAACGGTTGTCTTTCCATGGGGCACTTCCCACGCTGAAAATGAATTGTCGTAGGGATCTGTGACGAGGGAACTTGGGAGGGTTTCGTTGCAGCATCGTTCGTGCATCTTGGGCTTACATTTGTTCGCCTCCTGCTCCTGCTCCTGCTGCTCCTCCTCCCTCCTGCTCCTACTCTTCACCCAAATCCTCATCGACCCACTCCCTATGGCTCCACTGAAGTCAATCACCGCTCCGCCCATTCTCCTCGTCCTCAAGTTCCCCCATACCCGGCCCCCGATACCCCTCCTCGTCCTCCCCTTCCTCCTCTTCCTCCTCCTTTTCCTCCTCCTCCCCATTCTCATCTTCAATTTCCTCCACCGCCTCCTCCTCCTCTTCCTATTCATCTTCTGGCTCCTCCGTCGTTTGCTCTGCGATCGCACTGAAACGGATTCCCGAGCTTCTCCTCTCACCCTCTTGCACTCCTCCCTTCTTCACCACCCTCGTCATCCTCCTCATCATCCTTACCATGACCTGTAGACCTACCGTGGACTGCAGGCAGGAGGACTCAGCAGTCTGTCGGACGGCGACTGGTGGCGTCCGCCATCCGGTGCTCCGTCTCAACTCAGCCTCTATAGCACGGCAAACGCACCATGAACTTACGCGCTCGGTCAAACTCGTGAACACACCGATGAACCGGGTCTAGTGGTTTACCGCTTCACGGGGCTGTCGACCGATTCGCCGATACCACTATCACTCCCCACGGCTTCCCAGCACCAGGCCTGACTGCGTAGTTACTCGATCCCCCACTTCGGAGTTATCTCCAACATCGTGTAGCAAACTTACACACACGCATCATTGCTCCAAGGGTGATCGACGGCTTCGCTCAGCGGGCCACGCACCAGCGTCACCTATCGCGATGTACAACTCAAGCCAAGAGCTCGAGCAGCATCCCGACCATAAACACTGTATGACACAGACAGACGGTCTACGAAGCTAACTCGTAAGAGGTGTGCGTTAGCATGGGTGCGTCCGTGGGAGACCAACAACTGCAGACGACGGTGCCTCAATGTCGTGCCCGAGAGATCCAGCAGCACTCTAGATTTATCACCCACCATTCCTCCCCAGCACCAGACCTAACTGCGTAGTTACTCGATCCCCCCCTTCGGAGTTGTCTTCAACCCCGCGCAGCAATGTTACACACCATTGCTCCAAAGGTGATCGACGGCTTCGCTCTGCGGGCCACGCAGCAGCGTCAACTATCGCGATGCACATCTCAAATCAAGAGCTCGAGCAACATCACGACCATAAACACTGTATTACACAGAAAGACGGTATATGAAGGAAATTCGCAAAAGTGCGCGTTAGCAAGGGTGGGCCTGTGGGAGACCAAAAACTGCAGACGACGGTGCGTCAATGTCATGCACGAGAGATCCAACAGCACTCTAGATATATCACTCACCATTCCTTCCCAGCGCCAGACCTAACTGTGTAGTTACTCGATCCCCCACTTCGGAGTTATCTTCAACCCCGCGTAGCAATTTTACACGCACCATTGCTCCAAGTGTGATCGACGGCTTTGCTCCGCGGGCCACGCAGCAGTGTCAACTATCGCGATGCCTATCGCCATAACTCTCACCATAAGTGTGACACTGGTTTTGCCGCCACAACGTTGAGCATCAAGGGTCCCGAGCGAACCGCAGCAAGCTTGGCATTCGCGCCCAGGCCTGTGTCCCATGCCTCTGCTGCACTGAGGTCATCTTTGACAACTGTTTGAGGATGCGACTATGCTTCTCGTATCTCACCACGGACGAGTGTTTCTTCCAATGGCCTCTCTGCTGAACGCCGAGGATGTCTCCGGCGAGGCGTTGGTTTCACCTCTCCCTAGGGGGGGCGCCAGGGGGTATTGCACGGGCCCGTTCGCGCCCAGATTGGGGGGATGTCTCAGGCTGTTTGCCTGTTTGGGTGCTCAACATCCTTCTCCTCTGTCGGAGCAGTTTCCGAGGATGTCTCAGGCGAGGCGCTGGTTTCAGCACTTCCAAGGGGGGGCGCCAAGGGGTATTGCACGGGCCCGTTCGCGCCCAGACTAAAGAGACGTCTCAGGCGGTTTGCCTGTTTGGGTGCTCAACATCCTTCTCTTTCGGAGCAATTTCCGAGGATGTCTCACGCGAGGCGCTGGTCTCAGCACTCCCTAAAGGGGACGCCAGGGGGTATTGCACGGGCCCGTTCGCGCCCAGATTGGGGGGATGTCTCAGGCGGTGAGCCTTTTTCTGGTGCTCAACGTCTTTCTCTTTCGGAGCAGTTTCCGAGGATGTCTCAGGCGAGGCGCTGGTTTCAGCACTCCCAAGGGCGGGCGCCAAGGGGTATTGCACGGGCCCGTTCGGGTCCAGATTGGGGGGATGTCTCAGGCGGTTTGCCTGTTTGGGTGCTCAACATCCTTCTCTTTCGAAGCCGTTTCCGAGGATGTCTCAGGCGAGGCGCTGGTTTCAGCACTCCCACGGGGGAGCGCCAAGGGGTATTGCACGGGCCCGTTCGCGCCCAGATTGAAGAGACGTCTCAGGCGGTTTGGGTGCTCAACATCCTTCTCTTTCGAAGCCGTTTCCGAGGATGTCTCTGGCGAGGCGCTGGTCTCAGCTCCCTAGGGGGAACGCCAGGGGGTATTGCACGGGCCCGTTCGCGCCCAGATTGGGGGGATGCCTCAGGCGGTTTGCCTGTTTAGGTGCTCAACATCCTTCTCTTTCGGAGCAGTTTCCGAAGTTGTCTCAGGCGGGGCGTTGGTTTCAGCTCTCCCAAGGGGGGGCTTCAGGGGGTATTGCACGGGCCCGTTCGCGCCCAGATTGGGGGGATGTCTCAGGCGGTTTGCCTTTTTCTGGTGCTCAACATCCTTCTCTTTCGGAGCAGTTTCCCAGGATGTCTCAGGCGAGGCGCTGGTTTCACTACTCCCTAGGAGGGGCGCCAGGGGGTATTGCACGGGCCCGTTCTCGTCTTCACTGGTGGATTTTCCTGACAGGTGTTCATAAGGAAAGGAGGAGAAAGATGAGGAGGACAAGGAGGAGGAGGACAGAAGGAGGATGCAAGTACTTAAAGTCGTCGTGGTCGTCGGCGTCTCTCTCGGCCTCGTTTTCAACGTGGATTCGCTGACACTCGGATATTGAAAAGGACAATGTCTTCTACCGAAGTTTGCCATTACTATGAGATACACATATGAGGATCTCCGCGTCGAGTAATTTAGTTGAAACTTCTTGGGGGCATCGTGGGGGCCCATCTTGAGCTGTCTGGGGGCGTCTGGAGGCTAGCTGGGGCCGTCTCGGCGAGCTCGAAGGCCGCCTCGAAGCAACCTTGGGCCTTGTCAGAGCCATTTACTTTTATTTGAGCGGTGACCATAATCCTGACCACATAAGGCAAATCCAACACAATATCGCGGATAGCAGTCGCCATGAGATCGCTGACCTCGCCTGGGGAAAACAAACCGCGGGCGCGGGACTGCCGCCGACACGGAACAATATTTGGGGCTCCAGTCGACCGTCGTGGGCGTTCTTGGGGCTCCTCGACGGCGGTTGTTGGAGCATCCTGGGGCCTCAGAGGCTTCTCGGAAGCGACGGGGCGAGATCTTGACAAGCATCGATATTCCTTTGGAAGCGTTCTGGAGGCCCTCTGGGGCTGTCTTGGGGCGCCGTTTGGGCAGTCTCGGCGCCCGCGTGGGGGCTTCTAAGGCTGTCCTGGGGCGATACTTGGGGCCTCCTGGGCCGTCTTGGAGCGTCGGGGAGCCGAGAACCACCAAATCCTTCGAAAACCATCTAACAATGAGTGTATGTTGCCTCTTGGGGTCCTCTTGGGAGGCCTCTTGGAAGCCTCTCGGGGCGTCTTGAAGGCTCGTTGAGCAGTCTGGAAGTCATCGTGGGCGTGTTGGAGCGGAATTTCGGCGATTCTCGGCCCTCTTGGGACGTCTGGGGCCTCTTGGGGCCGTGTTCCGGTTTTGGGGCTGTCTTGAGTCGTCTGGGAGCGTCCCCGGAGGCCCCGGCACACCCATGCGCAATCGAGGTTCCTGGGCTGGGCCCCCAGACTCCGTCGCCAGGTGTGTGTGTGTGTGTGTGTATATTATTATTATTATTATTATTATTATTATATATGTGT